ACATGTCACATGGCTGGGTAGCACCCGAGCTCTTTAAGCTATTCGTACGGTCATTATGGCCCTATGAGACAATGGTCCAAAACAGCTCAATTCTCGTATTACACTAAGCCTACCACATCTGTGAGGTCAGATCCAGCCATCCAGCAACACGCACAGTTGAATAAGAAAGAACACCATCAGTTAATGGTGAGGTGTGTGATTCAACCCAGTGATTCAAATATTCTAAATCTGTCCAGCAAAAAGATGTTCAAATTTGTTTAGTTTAGTTTTTTCTTAAAATTTTTATATCTACAGATCTACAAAGAGGCATGAGAAAGAGTTTTAAATACACTGTAAAAAATTAGTGTAATTTTAAATGTAAAATATTATAAAAACACTACAGAAAAAAAAAATTGTTAATAGGTTAACAGTAAGTTCCAGTACTATATACAGGGAAAAACGGTAAAAGATCTAACCAGAAATTTCATGTAATTTAGCAGTAAAATGCTGTTAAATGTACAGTTTTTAAAAGTAAAAAAGAACAAATCAACATATAATTTAAATTTAAAAAATGTAAACTGATATTCCCAGATTTCCCTGTGATACTCCACATTTGAAAGTATTTTGTTTGAATAAAGTTTCTTAATAGTTTTTGTAATCAGTTGTACATGTACATTTGGGTTTTATGTTACATCTTCTGTATTTAATGAATGTTTATTGCACTTAAGTGTCATGTGTGTTACCATGATTGTGTTTTGTGTTTGTGTTATTGACTCTGTGCACCTTCTGTATATTAAGAATCTACTTCAGCTTGTGGAAAAGCTACTTGTGAAGAACTTTGATTCTTCATGTGGCGTTCTCTTTTACCATCTGTTTTATTATGGTGGATGTCAGTACATGTTAAAGGTACAAAACAGATTTTAGTAGCAGTGTGCGTTGTTAAATTTACAGGTTTACATTCAAAATTTCTTGTTTGTAAATTACAGTTTTATACTGTAAAATGTACAGTTTTTCTGTAATTTTTTACAAATTTATTCTGGCAACCACAAGCTGCCAAAATTATTTTGTAAAAACCACACAATGAATGAATGAATGAATGAATGAATTAATTAATTTAACTGCTTTTTAGCCAAAAAAGGCAAGAATGCAGAAGAATTTTGAGGAAGCGACGACAAATGAGTATACAGCTATGCTTCGATCCACCTAGATGCGCTCAATTGAGTTATGCACATTAAATTATGATGGAAACACATTTACAGAATACATTTCCATCATAAATAAGCATCAAAAAGTCATGTGACTTTGCCTCAACAAATCATATGATTGGATAACTGAACTAATCAGCACACCAATCTCATTACACACCATCTCAAATGTTATTTGAATAATTTTTAAATACCTGTCATCTAAATGATTTGGTATAATCACATACAATTGCATTCCCAAACATCAGGCATCCGAATGCAAGATAACATGACAGTGTTTATTAGTCCGTGTGTTGTCTGTGCACTCTGACACTTTCCATTGAAAAGCAACACCAGTGTCTCTTTTGCCTCTTTAAGCCTCAAAATGTACATGTAAAACATATTTAAGAAGGCAAAAGTCAATAAGACTTTTATGAGATTTGGTTTTTAAAAATACTATGCTAATATAAACCTTCAAAAATATTGTAGTATTTGTTGCTTGTTGAGCATAAGATAAATGGTAAAACTGTGTAAACAACAAATAGAACTAAAACATAGGACTAAAACATTTGCATAGGACTAAAACAACCCCAAGGGGCTCTGCTACCTCATTTTTGAAGTCCACCACACACCACAGCAAGAAAGAACATCTATTATGCTTTCCATAAAATATGCTTCTTCAAAGCCCACACTCTAATGCTATTTCCTGTTATAGTCAGTATTTAAGGAGAGCAATAAGTCACCAAAACAGTGATCATTCAGTCATGACCGAAACGCCACTAGCATCAGTGGGATTCAAGTCCTTTTAGCACCATCACAACAGTCTAACTATATCAATATTCAAGTAAACATGGTCTAAAAATGGTACTAAGCTGGCTGATGAAGTGAATCTGGAGGAGGAATGAAAGAACAAATGGAGGTTACTTGGAAAAGGGGAGATGGAGTCATCAGGGCTGATATCAGAACTCATTGCGCTGGCTGATTTGGCAGCTAAAATCAAGAGAACAGCTGAAGTGGTTAGCAGAAAAAGAAGGCCAGTCAGTGGCACAGTTCCTGGAACGGCACAGTATATTAACACAGTGCGAGACTCACACTGCTGCCTCACCCTGAGGAGACCAGACACTTCTCAAGATAAGAGTTTTCAGTGAGTAAAGTATTAAATGAGCATTAATACTGAACTATGCTGGAATAAAAGATCTAAAAGTCTGGACCAAAACACACAGTTATTGAAACTGTGGACTAGTGGTTGGCCATCTGAATCTGTTGTGTCCTATCCCCATTCCACTTGTTTACAGATTGTAGAGAGAGAAAAAAAAAAAATCAAACTTGATTAGCAAAATAGACATTAAAAAATATATACTCAAGCACCTAGTAGAACGTAGAAGTACATAATATGATTTTGCACTCTGAACAAAGCACTCAGTTCGTTTAAGCAAATCCAAAACAGTGTTGTTATTGTTTAAAGAAAAAAAAACATTAAAATAGTTTATGTTAACTGAAATAAAGCCTAAATACAAAATGCATAAATATACATATTGAATGAAAAAAATACAATAGGAAAATAATTGAAATAAAATAAGCTGAAGTTGAAGTACTAAAATTACTAAAATTGAAATAAATTAAATACATTTTTTTAATGTAAGAAATATTTAAATAAAAAATGACAAAAGACTAAAACAGAGAACGCAACAAAAAAAAGTAAAAAAATAAATAATAATAAATACTATACCAATATACATTTAATACTAAAATAATGAAAAGCAGTGTGGACTAATTCCTGAATCTTAAGTCAATTATTTTTATGAATAGCTCAAAAAGACAAGTTTACAGTTAGAATCAGTTTGTATAAAGCATTAACAAAGACTTTGTTTTTTTACATATGTGAGCAAAATGGACATTATAACTGAAATATACCAAAATAAATTGAAAAGTGAAATAAAAAATGACAAAAGACTAAAACAGAGAACGCAACAAAAAAAAGTAAAAAAAATAAAAATAAATAAATACTATACCAATATACATTTAATACTAAAATAATGAAAAGCAGTGTGGACTAATTCCTGAATCTTAAGTCAATTATTTTTATGAATAGCTCAAAAAGACAAGTTTACAGTTAGAATCAGTTTGTATAAAGCATTAACAAAGACTTTGTTTTTTTACATATGTGAGCAAAATGGACATTATAACTGAAATATACCAAAATAAATTGAAAAGTAGGGATAAAATCAAACCGAGAAAATTAAACTGTTAATCAAATTGGATCAGGCCACCAAAATCAAAACTGCTTTGGAAAGTTCTTAACACCACTTAAAAGGCACTCAAATTAACACTGTGTTAATGGCCAATATCGCTCACTTGGAGGCAAGACAGTTGGGGTAAAAAGCGTTTCAACCTGCTTTTCTCCATTTGATTCAGCCACGACGCCAAACGTCCATTTGCATTATTACAGAAACTCTGTCTGTAAGGAGGACGATCTCCCATGTGGTGGCCAGGTCCTCTGCCATTCCCCAGCCACAGCTCTGAGTACTGAACATCTGAGGGTAGAGTTTTTTGGGCATGATGATGGGCAAAGAGAATATGAGCAGAGACAGGTGGGTGCGGGGAAACAGCTGACTGACTGACTGACATATACATAGACACACAACACGGTTTAGAACAACATAGGACATCTCTTGTCTGCCACCACATATGCTAGCCTCAGCTAAGGAGAGAAAGAGAAGGGATGAAATGGGACTGGACTTGAAGACAGTGACGTCTACTCTGTCACCATGCACAGCTTTGGACTCATGTCTGTTGAAAAAGGCCGTTTAAATGGGCACTGAGAGCATATAAGGTCTCCAAAGCCAGAAACTAAACCAAACACAAGGCTAAATTATTCAAACTTCAAACTGATGCATGCTTGACAACTCTTCCAATCAAAACTAGATGAGCGAGAGCCATCAAAACAACCTTAACACAAAGTGTTCTGCATGACAATGAGCTGCAGGGCTTGTATAAATCTGCCTGTTTCGTTAGCGAATTTCCCATTCAAACTTTACATTTAAATAAAAATAAACAATTGGAATAAGTCATAATTATGTTTAGTCAGTATGTAAATGCACACTGCAGTCATTGATATGGCAACCAGTCTTTACCGGCGTGTTCATGTTACATGGAGGGCAACCGCATGGTATGTTCAGTGATTGTAATACATCTGGTTTGGGAATTAACGACCGAGTACAGCAAAGATTCATATGCGGGAGAAAGCAGGTTTGCATGTTTGTGTAAATTCAGGCAATCATCTGGCAAATGACGGTTTGATGACACTTAAGTGTTCTAGCACGAGTCAAGAGTTCATGCAAACTCATGTCATGTTTCAAATCCACGACACAGTTCTCGCAAATGAGAAATGTTATCGCCAGCAAAGACTGGAACATTCATGGTCTTGACGTATCCAGTGACTTACAACAACAACAACATTTCGCTGAACTGCTTAACAATTGACAAACGCAGCCCATCCTGCAGCAAAATACAATTGTGTAAAGTTGTTGTTTATAACCTGTATAACAGATGGTATAAATCAATTTGTTTTAAGATATTACCTGCTTTAAGTACCTTGTGCCTTGAAATGGTAATGTAATTTCCATTGAGACCTCCATTGAGAATTCTGGTTTGAAGTGACAACTCACCAAATGGCAAAATGACAAAAGACTACCAGTAGGTCAAATAAGTAGCAGACTTCTTATCCAGCCAGAAAATATAATCTAAAATTAATATTATCATGATTTGTATTGTAATATAACATTAAAAGGCTCATACTAATGCCTTTAAATTCTAAAATAGTGTGGAGAAACCCACCCAGAGCGCTTGGTGATGGTGCCCAAGGTCATCGGCTGCTTGATTTGAGCCAGTGGAAGCACGACCGTCAAACTGGGTAATGGAGACAGGCGTGGGTTACCCATGTTGTTGTTAGTGAAGTTGTTATAGGATTCTTGACTGGTGAGTTTGGCTGTGAAAGAAAAGGAAAAAATTGAAGAAATGGGAGTTTGTACTACTAATAAAAATCTTTAGGTCACATATATACTACATCAATTTTTTAAGTTAGTACTTTTATTTAGCAAGGATGCATTAAATTAATCAAATAAGAGTAAACACATTTATAATGTTACATGAGATTTCGATTTCAAATAAAATCTGTTGTTTTTAAACTTTTGATTCATTGATTCGAGACTCCTTTTCACACACACAAAAAGCAACACGACTGTTTTCAGCATGTATAATAATTAAAAAAAAAAAAAGTTTCTTGATCACCAAATCAACATATTAGAATGATTTCTGAAGGATCATATGACAATTGACACTGGAATAATGGCTGCTGAAAAAAACTCAATAAATGACATTTTAAAATATATTAAAATTGTTATTTTAAACTATAATAATGTTTCACAATATTCCTGTTTTTACAGTATTTTTGATCAAATACATGTGGCCTTGGTGAGTATAAGAGACTTTAAATTAAAGGATTAGTTCACTTCCAGAATAAAAATGTCCTGATAATTTACTCACCCCCATGTCATCCAAGATGTTCATGTCTTTCTGTCTTCAGTCGGAAAGAAATGAATGCTTTGGAGGAAAACATTCCAGGATTTTTCTCCATATAATGGACTTAAATAGTGGCCAAAGGATTATTTCAATGCAGCTTCAAAGGGCTCTACACGATCCCATCTGAGGAATAAGGGTCTTATCTAGCGAAACGATTGGTCATTTAAAAAAAAAAAAAATGTATATACTTTTTAACCACAAATGCTCATCTTGCACTAGTTCCACGATGCGTGTCCGCAAATGCACACATTACGTAATCACATTGGAAAGATCACGTGCGGTTAGCTCTTCGTCTGTGTACTCCGGTTCAAAAAGACAGGGTAGGGCAAAAAACTCCATCGTCCGACATTGCTGTTTTACACCTTTTTGACTTTCTTTGCATGTTCGCTTTGTAAAAACTTGGGTCGGTACTTCCGTCTATGTCACGTGTGACCTTTCCAACGTGACTACATAATGCGTGAAGTCGAGCTAGTGCAAGACGAATATTTGTGGTTAAAAAGTATATACATTTTAATTTTTTTAAGAAAATGACAGATCGCTAGATTAGACCCTTATTCCTCGGCTGGGAACGTGTAGAGCACTTTGAAGCTGCATTGAAACTGCAATTTGGACATTCAGCCCATTTTGGTTTCACCATTGAAGTCCATTATATGGAGAAAAAATCCTGTAATGTTTTCCTCAAAAAAAAAAAAAAACGTAATTTCTTTGTGACTGAAGAAAGAAAGACATGAACATCTTGGATGACATAGGGGTGAGTAAATTATCAGGAATTTTTTCTTCTGGAAGTGAACTAAACCTTTAAATCAACAGCATATGTTAAGACTTTTCTTAAAAATAATGCTGAATGGTCAGCATTCCGATCATGCTAAAATACATATAATGAATTCATAATATAGCATATCCTCTCAGGGAAATAAACAACAGATACATGGTTTCTACAGCTCTCCCCTTAATTATCCACTTTTCATCAGTTTTCATGAGTTTTTTATGTGTTGCTTTTTATTCCAACTAGTACAGGAGGATGCACTTCTTAAAAAAGCAAACACAATATAGTGCAGATGTACCTAACACAAATATTCCACACAAAGTTCAAGTGCTGCTTTTTGTTTAACTGCACTAATTTTTCCCTTTCAATGTACAATATTTCAGACGAGCCCAATAATCTCAGCGAACATTTTCCTTGCTTCCATTGTAATATCGCCAGGAAGAGGGTATTCAGGAGATCGGAGAAATACCTGAGACACAAAACAGTGATTATCTGAGGGCAAAAGCGCTGAGAGCGGCCGTGCCACAGTGTTGGAGGGGTTTTAGATCATTAGCCAGCCTCTCTGTGTCTCTCTAATACCCAGAAATGCTGTCTTTGTGCTTAACCAAAGAGAGGCCATTTAGGCCTCATGGCCCTCGATAAAGGCCTGCTTTGGCTGGAGACATTACACAAACCCCTGCGCCATTCCACACAGGGCCCTCAAGGGCCCTTCACATTTCAAAACCACTACACCCCAAGCGCAGCCACCTTTTGTGTGCAAGAGCAGCAGAAAAGAAAAGGAATTTGAACAGGAAGCAGCCTGAAAACCCATAATGGTGCTTCTGATGGACAAAGACGAGGAGTAGAGGAAGAAAAATCTTAATGAATTTAGCATCTTTCCAAGAAGGACATACTCCATCTCGGCGCAATTTTTAACCCCCACTAAATCAAAACCCAACTCACTCGCAGACACGCACGCAAACAGTGTCACGGTGGCAAAGCTTAAGCCCTCAAAAAGCAGACGCCTCGCACGGGATGATGTGAAACTCAGCCGCCGCATGACGTCAACACTAGTGTGGCAGGCTTGGCCGAAACCCTCAAGAATGGCACGTCCGAGAGAGGCAAGGCGCCTGGCCAGTCAAAACGATACTGCTTATGGAGCCGTCATTTGATTAATGACTCATGTGTGATGGCCTTCGCAGTGATACATGACAAGCCAATGGAAAGAAGATCCATCAATGCAAATCCACAGCCGTCGCAGGCCTAACTCCAAGAGGCCGGCAGGGTCACCCTCTGTCACCTGACCCTCTCACTCTGCTCCATTTGCATTTTCTTCTAATGGCATAGACCTGGTCGCCCTGTCACTGATATCTTGTTTTTCTCCCCCAAGCTGTACTATTTGCATCTGATAAAGCAATGAACACAAGCGATCCATCTAAGCTGACGCTTTCCATTCGTTATTAGATTCATTTGCACACATAATCCTAAAAAAAAAAAAACATTCTTAAGCAAACACCATCCCATTTGTAATCGCATCACCACCGAAGTGAATTTAAAAAATGCAACCTTGAAGGCCACCAATGCGAATAACGTTCCCGGGGCCGGAATATCACAGGACGTTCCAAAGTGTCAACCGCTGAGAAATCGCCAGGCTTTAGGAGCATCTGCGGAAGACTTGAATTCCTAGAAAAAAGTCGCGCTCTCCCGGTTTGGGAATACTTTGATATATTCTGTTTCACCCATTCATGTCTTTCTTGCTAGTCCAGGTTTCCCAGACATGCTCCTGTAAGAGCGTAGTTCACAGGAGGTAGGGATTAGGACAGGAGGGGAGGAGGGGGAAAAAAGAGGGATGAGTGGAGAGGAAAAGGAACAATGGCGGTGCCGCCGCACTTAGGGGGAAGGCGCTGTCATGTCAAGTCTGCCTGTGCCAATTCCCAGAGCTATCATTATTAAAATACACACTTTCAAAGGAGGAGTACTACAAGTGGAAAAGGGGTGAGGGGGAAGGAAAGTAAGTAAAAAGAGAGGCCAGAAAGTGCCGGATAAAAGCAATCCCGGTGGACAAAGAGAAAACAAATTAAAATAACCATTACAAAACACAGATGCTGCAAAGAAAATAAACTTCACAAGATTTACTGTTTTCAGAAGAAATCCGACATTGGTGGAAAAGCCATTTCTGGTTGCCTCTGCTTTTACAGCATCTGCTCGCTGCTATTTTCAGGCTTGTAGTGGGGTCAAGCCAGCCTATGTGAAAATGGACAACTGCCAGTCTTTTCCCCAACTGCCAGTGAATGAGAGTGCTTTTAAAGTGACAGCAGAGTTTTTTTTTTTTTCTTGCAAAGATTTTGGATTGTACGGCATCCGCTTTAATGAGCAGAAACCTTATATGAAACTTCCTGCTATTACCAGACGTCGTGCCGTACGAGTATTTTCACCGTAAGACTTCAAACTGCATTATAAAATGGTACGTTTTCTGTTTCCCCTCATTCCATGTGCTGATTTCACTTCAGAAGTCGCCGTATGATTACAAGCCATTACATCATGACCGAAATTATTCACTGCTGTATAATAGCAATATACGTATTTATAAAGAAAATGTGAAAGCATTCAAGCATGTAATTCATTAAACAAACTACATTTGAACGTCTCGCTACGAGGCTGTCTGAAATCAGATCCAATAGTTTACAACATGTCAGCGTTTACAGCTCATCAGAGGAGCACCTTGGTGACAGTGGGAATCTACACTCTTCTGTGGCTCAGATAACAGCCTTACTGAAACCATATGTGTGCGAGTTTGTTTGCAAGGCAGTGTGTGTGAGGATGTTTCACCTCAGACGAGCAGACTTTGCAAACGGTGCATGAGAAGATGAACAGGAAGGCATCCGCAGACTCAATCAATGCACCTCGGCATGTGGCTCTGATCAGGAGCACGTAATCTGATAATGTCAATTTACTTATGGGTAAGTGGGAACCGTATTCTCTCCTCCCAGACATGTCTAAATGAAACCCTATGCTGGTCTGTCAGAGGAAAAAAAAGAAGAAGAAATGTTTTAGTGAATAAGTTCAATTCAAAGCACCAGGACGTTAATCAACTCGCTGCCTGATAGCGTCGTAACAGCTAAAGACACTGAGGGGCACACATCTCCCCCAATATTCAAATTAGTGGTTGACGAATATGGGTTTATGATGGTTGATTCTTAAATTATTACATTTAATGCTGCTCAGTCTTGAAAATGTGAATACATCTGTGATAAGAATCAGTGATATCACTCAAAAGAATAACCCAAAAATAAGAATGACTGTACAGAGAAACTAATTTATAATAATCATGTGAAAAGGACAAATATTAATAAAAACTATATAATATTAATAAACAAATATGTTTAGTATATTTTATACTAAATATTTATACTTTAGTATATTAATTGGTATATTTTTTAATGTTTTAAAAATATATATAAATTAAATAAAATCTAATGTAAATCAAATTATATAAGGTCCATTTAAAAAAATATATATATATAATAAAAGAGCAGCACAATTCCAGTGCTGCAGCAGCTGAATGAAAAGGAAATGTAGGAGAATTTCCTGTTTCTTGTGCCTGTGCCATGGACGTGTTAAACAGCACTGACAAATGAAGTTTCCTTTAAAAAATATTTTTA